GCACCGCCGCACGAGGCCGTAGTGAGCTGTTCTTGCACCGCCGCACGAGGCCGTAGTGAGCTGTTCTTGCACCGCCGCACGAGGCCGTAGTGAGCCGTGACTGCACTGCTGCACTCCTTCAATCCCATCAGCTTGGCTGGGGCAGGCGTGGGAGGTGGGAAGTGGGGTTTTAAAGGAGAAAGACCACCATCTGGATCATAGACCAGACCTGAAAGGGGGTTGGCACTTTTAGGCATGTGGAGTAACTGGGACACACTGTCCTAGTGGAAGCTGTCAGTGGCCTCTGTGGCTGCTGCGGCCCCAGGAGAGGAGACACCTCTCTTCTGGGGCTGGGGCTCAGTCTGGCTCGGAGTCCGGATCTGGGACTGCAGAGCGTCCTGCCTGGGCTTTGCCTGGTCTGCATGCATCCCCCAGCCTGTGGCTCAGCCCGCCTCCATGCTCACAGCCATGCTGGCGCCCAGAAGCAGCCCTTGGCTTCCCTCCTCGTTGGCTTAACAAACCCCCTTTCTTCAGAGGAAGGGAAGTGTATGCTGTGGCCTGGTGGGACTGGCTGGGCTTGGGAGTTCCAAATGCTCTGTGTGCTTGGGGACAGCTGCTGAACCTCCCTCCGCTGCCATAGCCCTTTGGCCAAGGGTGTTCATCCACGACCGGCAGTAGCTACTCTGTTTCGGTTATGGGCATCTGTGCATCGGTGTTTGGTTTAATGTGTGTAGCTGAATGTCTCATTTTGTTTCTCACAGTCATTCTGTGCAGTTCCCCCATGTCTGGGTGAGTGTCAGGTGGCTGCCGCCCTGGGTCCGGGACGGGCCATGTTCCAGCAGCTCCTGCTGCAACCCCCCCATTCTTTCCCAAAACCAGAGAAGGGAAAACCTTCTCTCAGTGGGTGTCACATGTCAGGTGCTTTTTCTGTTACTGCATGTGATCCCACAAGGCAGGGAGTGTCCCCTTTTACGGATAGGGAAAGTGAGATCACATTGCACGTTGAAAGCCCGACGTGACCCGTCCACCCTTAGAGCTTCCAGCTCTGGGCTGGGAGTGCACGGGGGTTCTTCAGATGCAGATGGGCTTGAGGGATTGTGCTTCTCCGATGTTCAGGTGTTTTTCTAGGGAGAGCCATCTGGGGTCTGGGCTGGGGTGGGGACAGCAGGAGAACAGGACAGGAGTGGCGACCCAGGGCCGGGAAGGGGGTAGGCAGGGGCAGCATACGGGGTGGAAAGAAGGGCAGTGTCACGAAGGCCCCTGGGAGGCAGCAGCACGTCCCTTGGGGGAAGTCCCGCAGAGAGGCCATCCCTGAGGAGCTGAGGTGTGTGAGGCTGGGCCTGAGGACACAGGTGTCTGTTGCCTGGGTTCAGGAGGCCGGCGGGCACGTGCACCACCCCCCAGCCCGGCAGGGCACCATGTGACCAGGCCTGGCATCAGGACTGGGAGTGGCTCCTGCACCAGCCGGTATCTCCCTGGAGACAGGAAGGTGGGGCGCCTCCTGAGTTCAGCTAGGAACTCTGAGCTTTGGGTCCCGGAGGTCACCATGTTTGGGATGGCTGCCTCATGGCCCCAGCTGCCTCTGTGTGTGGTGGGGTCAGCAGAGGGACCCCAGGCAGGCTGGACTCCATCGTGGTCCCGGAACCGAAGCAGCCACGCTATGAGAAGATAAAATCGCCTTGACGGGCTTTCCCTGGGACCTTTTCAGCACGCACCTCCTTGCTGTGCCCTGGAAAGGCGGGTGG